GCGGTCGACCGCCGCGGTCGACCGCCGCACTGTCAACTCAGTTCCAACGGCTATTTTTAGAGCCGTTGCAGAGTGGTTTTTTGGTCTTTTTCTTGGCTTTCTCTTACCTTTGGGGTTTCATATATATACCCCCTTACCTCAACTCTTACATATAATAAGAGAATGTTTTCCAAATAGTTTAACAAGGGTTTAAACTTGTTTAGTGTTTGTTTAAGTTTGTTTTTAAGAAGCTTTTAAGCATTTGAGTGTTTCGGTTTTGTGAATCAATTCCACAAGAGCTTGAGGAGATTATCTATTGAAGTTTGAGCTTCCAACTATCCTCCTCCATCTCTTATTATCAATTGAGAAGTTTTCTAAACTCAAACTCTAGCTTTACATTTATATACTTGTTTGATTATCATTGTTCTTAAGCTAGATTTTATATTGAGTTTAGTTTGATTTGATTTACTCTTTGTTCACACACAACCTATTGAGCTTATTGTATTTACATTCATAGTATAATTGGGTTGTGAGATTGTGTATCTTAGAGAGTGAGCTTACAATTCGTTCTCATCCATTGTAGAGAACAAACACTTTGTATTGAGCCTTAATTGTGAGGATACACTTTGTAATACACTTGTACACCAAGAGAGAAGTGTGTGGCGAGAGTCGGGGATCGTCCCAAGAGGAGTGGGGTAGGTGACGAGAGGTTGTAATTCCTAACACTAGGTTCTACACTTGTGAGGGTGTAGAGTGTGATTGCAAGAGTGTTGATTGTAAAGTTTTCGGTTAGCTAGAAAACCGAGTGTGAGGTGTAAACGTTATTCGGGTGAACGTAAAAAACCCGGTTGTGATAGTGGATTTCTCCCCGGGAGTGGAGAGCGGAGATGTAGGATGGAAGGTCCGAACTCCGTGATCATATCGTGTGTTTGAGTTTGCTTTGGCGCACTTAATCTTATGTTTATATTTATTGTCGTCATTGTCCATAGCTCGTTATTTTTATCATCCACTATCTAGTTCTTTTTGTTTACCCTTGTGCTAGTTTATATATCCTTGCATATATTTATCATATAGGATATATATCTTGTTGTTCTTATTGCTTATCCTAGCTCATATATCTTGTTGTATTTCATACTTGATAGGATAACTTGTTAATTAATTTTAATTGTTATTTAATCAGATTAGATTAGCATAAGACCCTAATCATCCCCCTCTAGGGTCTAACATTTTTATCTTAAAATATTTTCAAAACACCATGTTAAGTATTTTATGTCAACACTAGTTTGACCCATTATAACATTAGTATTAAACATATTATTAATATATTACATATTAATTATAATAAAATATATTATGAATAAAATGTTATAATATTTAGTTTATATTATTATAGTATTATAGGTATTAAACTTAATGCAATATAATATTGTATAATTTATTATAATATTATACTATACTTTAATGAGTTATATTATATTATAATTATTATTATATTATAATTATTACATTATTTTCAAATAATTTTATATATAATTATATTTAGTTAATCACAATTTGTTATTTTGCTATATATTTAATATTCTTTCATAATAATGTTATTTTATTATATTAAAATTATACTGTTCATTAATATGATATTAATATAATATTATACTATTATTCATATAATATAATATTATTAATATTTAATATTTATGTTTTATTACTAGTATGGCTATTAATAAATTAATATTTTATAAATATTTTAATATTATATAATATATTATAGTTTTTAATATGTTAAGAGTTTATTAATAGTACTTTAACAATATATTAGTATTTATGATATTAATAAATATTAGTATATTATGAATATATTATTTTTATATTAATATTTGTTAGCAATTAATTATTTTATTATTAAAAATTATTTTATTTTATAATAAATTATATTATTTATTACATAATATATTAATATTTTATATATTATATTACATTTACTATACAATATGTTATTATAATATTATTATTATATTGTTGTGTTATTATTAAATATGTTACTATTATATAATATTTTATAATTATTATTTATTACAATTTATTTATTAAAAAGTTAATAATATTATAGTTATTATACTATGTATATTATATTTTTATATTATTATTTATTATCAATATCTTTTTATTATTTTTATTAGTTTATTTATATTTTATTATTATTTATTTATTATATAATACATTATTAACATATTAAATATTGGTATTTAATTTGTTATTATATTTTTATATAAGATATTTTATTTATTATATCTTTATATTATTTAATAAATATTACTAATATGTTAAATTAATTATAATATAGTATAGTATAGTATAATATAATAAGCATGTTGATAATAACTCTATATTAATTATATTTAATATATTATGTTATATTTTATATTAACACTTTCTCAAACTCAAAACCAAAACACCAAACTTAAAACATCTAAAAGATATTTTAAAATAAGTGTTGTGTTTTTTGGTTTGATGATGATTTAGCTCAAAATACATCATGGTTTCCAAACGTTTGGTGTTTTGTTTTTGACAAAAATACAATAGAAACAAATAAAACACAATAGTATCCAAACGGAACCTAAAATATGAACATAATCTGAAATTGGAGTTAAACACGCATTTCGTAGGGGTCCAACTATTCACACTCCCAAACAGTAACTTTGGGGGTGTGTGAGGACTAAATTGCCCTTCTCCCAAACCAAAACAGGCCAAGTCCATTCCAGAAACACCCTCAACATCAAAAGGGCATTTTCGGCAATCCAACTCCCAAAATTACTATTTGGAAGTGGATATAGCAAACATGATTTCGTAGTAAGATTGTTGGTTTCAGTTACTTGTCTAATTTTTACATAATTGTCTTTTCGTAGCCCACAATCATGCAAAAAAATAAAAATTAAATTAAAAAAATAAAAAAATACTAACCCAGCATTCCGTTTTGAGAAAAGGAACAAAAGAGCGCAACGGGAAATCATTTCCCCGTTACGGACTTTGTCTCATTCGCGTCGCCGCGTTCCCGAGAAGCTCATCGAGATACGTTGGAGTCCACTCACTTCCCTTCTCCGCCTTCGCGTCACATCCTGCCTCTCCGTATCCTCCACTTGATGAGCAGATAGCCAGGGTGGGGAAAATAAAAAAAAAAGATGATGACGTCTATCCCTTTGAAAAATTTGTATGGGGGGGGGGGCGGGGAGTTAAAGCAAAAGCTTCATCGCTCTCACTTACTTCTCTCTCCTCTTTATTCCCTCTTCACAAACTATTGATACTGATAAAGTGTAAAATAACTTAATAAAAAAATTAAGTAGAAAATAATTCACAAGCTACACCTTGTCTTCTACACTAGAAAATACCTGGCCTCTTGCAGAAATGGCGTTAATAATCCTTCCAACGCAAAAAAAAAAGCATTTGCGTACACGCTTGATACTTTGGATCCAATCTCCACAAATAAAGTTCTAACTTTATACAATAAATTTTAAAAGTAACAATTGGGCCGTATTCATACAGCACACAAACTCTATCACAACAAACTAGCACGTAGTTCGACTGTTATGATGTATACAGGAAAAATTAATGAGATGATTTGGATATTTCGCTTCTGCTTGTACACGTACGAATGAATCAAATCAGAACAGTTTGTTTTTTCAAGCCTCGTTTATTCAGCAAATAAGAAATTTAAGCTAAATATGTGAGTTCTCTTAAGAATAGGATTCCAATGTAAAATTCAGCACAAGAGATGCGCAAAACAAACACTTTCCCCTTCTCCCATTCCCCTCAAAAATTTACATTTTCTGTCGACTAATTTAAATCGAATGCACAGGAAATAAAAATAAAATAAAAAGACCTGAACCAGTCCAGCTATCAAACAACTACTCCCGAAACTCACAATAATCCACCAAAAAAATAAAAAAAAGAAAAAAAAAAGAAAACGAAGAAAGAGAAAAGCTCTCACTGCCCTTGAGCTTCATGTCTATTTTGGTCATTTACTTCGCTATTCTGCTCCTCCTCTGCACTCAAGCTCTCCATCTTCTTCTCCTCAGCCCCACCGCCACCGTCACCGTTACAGTCACCGTTACTACTCTCCCCATCAACAACACTCCCTCCGTTATCCCCAAACGACGACGCCCTGCTCGAAATGGGCGTCGCCAAAAAAGTCGGCTTCTCATCCTCCTTATCACCGTCGTCTCCTCCGCCGTTCTGGGCATCGCCGGAATCTTCGCCGGAGTCGAGGTAGCCGGAGAGCTTCCAGTACGAGCAAGCAAGGATGAGGAGGGCGAAGGCAATTAAGCCGAGCATGGCGGCTAGGCCCCCGAAGAGGTAAGGGACCGGAGAGTGCCACGCTGAGTGAGAGGAGATTGAAGGATGATGGGTTATTGTCTGACTTAATGGAGGAGGTGATGATGATGTTGATGATGATGATGGTGCACTGAAGCCTATAGTAGTTCTCATTTTTGTTTGAATTTCCTCTCTTTTTTTGTGGTTTATATTTGAGTCTCTGAATCTTTTAATTTGTTTAGGCGGAGGAGTGTGGGTTTGTTTTTGGGTAAGAGGAGAAAGGGTAGGGGTATTTATAGGAGGGAGGAGGGTGAAGTCGTAATAATGAGTAATTTAGAGAGGGGGAGATCCACTACACAAATGTTCTTTTCTTTTATTGTTTTTTAATTTTTTGTGATTTGGTTGATGATGGAAAGTTTTGTTTATTAGGGTTCGTTGGGTTACAATATCTCAGTGCTATTACGTATTGACCTTCGTTTATCTTTTTTTTTAATCTTCTTCTGGGCTGGGTGTTTGCTAGGCTAGGCTTTTTTATGGGAGGGGGAGAGACATAATTATTTATGATTGGAAAAAAAGACAATATTTGGATTAATTTTCAGTTATGGTTTACGAAATTATTACTGTTAAAAATTAGAATAAAATACCCAAGTCATATAGATAAAAAATATCTCATAATTACTTTTCCAAGCGTATGATATTTTTATTCTGGTCACTTTTAGCATGGATATCGAATAAACTACGGATTGTGTTATGTGGAGGAGCGTGATATCACATGTCTACGAGTTAGACAAATGATTTAAGAGATCCGTCTCTTTTAGCGAGTGAGAGGAATTAGACATATACTTAAAAGTCCAAACATCTTTTTTAACGAAAGAGATCAGAGTGTAATATCTATGCATTATCTTCATACAATAAATGAAATGATTTTTTTAAAATTCATTCTTCACAAACCCAAGGCAGGGTTGCATTTTGCAAATAAAAAAGGTGAAAAGAAATTAAGGAGATTGCCTCTCATAATACTTTCTATATTTAACACTTCAGAAGTTCCTCTCATAGATGTTTGACAAGTATATTATTTTGGCTTATAATCCATCATCAAATAAGCTATGGTATCTTAGCTTATTTTCTGATGAACTATAAGTCACAAGATTTGAACAAGTAAAAGACATATATACCCATACTATTTCAAAAAAAATTTAAATCATGTTCTTTTTGTTAGATTATAAGCCATGTCATTTTTTATCATTTTGACGATAATAACGAATTATAATCCATCCATTTGCCAGACACTCTACTATTGAAAATATATTATAATACACTAAATTTATCAAATACTATGGATTATAACTCACATGGCTTATAATACATTTATAATTATAATCTAAATAAATTATAATCTAAAATTGCCAAACATTCTCAATAATGTGGAGAGATCTAATTTGAAAAATGATAGGGGCACACCTCCAACCACGTCCCCTCTCTTGCTACAGTGCACTGGGACCCACATGCGATTTTTAAAACATCTCATGTGGGCCCCAATGTATTGTAGCAAGAGAGAGGGTATGGTTGGAGATGTGGTTGGGGGTGTGCCCCTAACCCCTCTCATCTAATTTGATAATATGGATGTGAACTTATCAATAAAAGGGTCCCAGTGGCATAAATGTATGCGTGCAAGCCCTCCCTAACTTATTTGGGGGCCGGCGGGGGGGGGGGCCGAGAGAAAAGGCAGTGGGTCTCTCTTCCCTTATTCTCTTTCGTTTAATTGGATCTCAAGGGATGTGGCTCAAAAATACACAACACATACACATTACCTTTACGCTTGTTTGCTTGTTTGCTATTATAATAGGAAGGCACTCTCTAGCGATGGGATTGGCCAGTGCGTATTTGACTCCTCACAAGTACACACTAATCCTCATAGTACAAAGTTTTCAAAACTAGGAGGATTAAGGTCATGATTTGTTTGGGGGGTAGACAAGAGTTGTTGGTGATATCATTTTGCTGCCTAAAAACTATGGGCTAACAAGAGTGTGCTTTTAATGGAGGGGATGGCTCATCTTGAGATGATGTCTTTCATTATGGATCAAAGTTATCAATTATGGTGTTGTTTGAGTAATTATGGGTCGTCACTTGTCGTTGCCCTATTGGGTTCATATCATATCAAGCTAATTAAATAGTTAAACAACTTTTTGGCTATATAAATAGTTACTAGGTTTGTTGATTTGGGCCTAACTGTGTGCATGCTTTGATTACGACTCGTGTTTAATTCGATTCTCCATCCAGCTTATTAAGGATTAATAACCATTTTTCTATGATTTCTTAATTAGGGAACTTCACCGATCACCTAAGAGAATTATACAATTAATTGGTCTTCTCAAACTACACACTTCTAAAGAGAAGGCAACCAAAAACAAATGAGATGATCCTAAAATACCTGATTCGATATAGATAAACAAAATTAATCTTCTCCAGTTTGAATGACTTATAAGATAATCAGTAAATGCTTTATCTATATTTTTACGTTTTACAAATTATTTATGTAATAAATTTTTATATTACTCGAAAATATATAGTGACAGGACAAATCTGCCTCTGCAATTAAAGCAACTTACTTTTGTGCAATACCTATATAGTATTGACAATTGAGACTCAAAACTGTAATCCTATATTAAAAATTAGGAAAGGCAAATAGAGACTTTACGTCAAGAGTTTAACAACTTAATATTTCTACTTAAATTGTTTCGTAAAAACATTGGCAGAGCCACATGGAGCAAAGTGTGAACAAACACCACTAAAATTGCATGCATGGTCATTGAGACCTAGTTTTAATTTTACTTTATCATCGCTTTAATTTCAGTTTTAATTGTTCTTGAGGTCTACATTAGATAATTTCTAATTAGATGATAATTGAAAAGTGTATAATATCTCCTGTCATCACTGTACATTTCATATTTAAGTGATAAAGCTAGATCGTATAGAAGAATTCCACTAAACTAGTTTGTGGTCCGTGCAAAGCACGGTATTTTTTTTTTGCTACAGTAATCCCGCTTTTTTAATATGGCATGATTTGAATTTTGAAAGTGCTACAGTATCCCGCTCTGCTATAGTACCTTTCAAATGCTACAGTATACCCGTGTGCTACAGTATTATTTTTAATTAATTATTAGCTCCAGTAATGATGCTGCAGTAAATGCTACTGTAGCATTTACTGTAGCATGAATAATGAATCTCTAATCCTCTTATTTGTATAAAGGAATAGATATGATAGTGGGTTTTAAATAATAATGATTTTCAAGCTCACGGTGGTTTTCTACGGAGCCCCATCTCGCCGCTTAAATTTAGAACGCATGCGGTGATTTACAGGTGATACCCCATTCTCCTGCGGAGTACGGATGCGTATATGCTGCGTACCTCCCTGCGTGCGGTCGGATTCTCCGCCAAAGCTAGGACAACAGTACACTGGTGTGCCGTGCTCCGCCAACTTAAAAATCTCATCCGAGTCAAAATAAAATAACGGTCCAGATCACCTTAGAGCAGCGATCAGTGTGCCCACGTGTCTCAGGTGTTTCCGTCGTATGCCACCAGAGAGTGGGAGAGACTGCGGCAGGCTTTGTGCCCCACAAATCTGACTTATTCGTCGACATCCGGGCCCACGGGCTTGGTGCTTTCCGCCTCGCCATTGGGCCCCACTACTGGGCTCTGTGTCGAACTGGGACCCAATGTACAGCTCAGGTTCAGACCGTACCAGCAACATTGAGGCAATTGCGACGGGGATTTCTCTGGAAAAAAGGTGGGGGGAAAGGTGACGGGGATTGCATCTTGTAATTATATCATGTTGGGAAGTTTTAAATCCATGAGTGGATTTAATAAAAGGGATTGAAGAATAATTCGTATAAATATTAAAGTAATTAAGTGGTAATTAGTCAGTGGGAGGATTTATGCTGCTAACTCTTTTTAATCCCTTTGTCAGATTATACGCACGCACGCTTCCTGTTCTCAACATAAAGCTTATATACGATCAACCTTTTTTTTTTTTATATACTTTTGCCTGAATGGCAGCATGTCATAATATTCGGGATTATTAAAGGAATGCTTTTATTAAAATAGAATAAACAAAATCTTATTTGGGTTGATTTCCAAGCGCTAGCGCTAGCGCTAGCGCTAGCGCTAGCGCTAGCGCTAGCGCGTACAGTTATCTTGGGCAGGTGTCGCATAACTTCGAGGTTTCATAGCTCTTAGTTCAGTCCCTCAAACATTGGTCTGTAGATGTGTATGTCGTGAACCAAGACCATGGGGGGACCCATTTACTCGAATTTGGTATTTTGGTAGTAAAAGAGAAGCACGAAACATGGAAGTAAGTGCGAGATAAAAAAAAAAAGCAAAAAACTTTTCCCTGTTGTTATGGGCGTGTTTATTCGGACGGGTTTGGTGGCTTGGATGTTACTTTGGCTGTCATGCTAGTAGCTTTCAAGCAATTACCTCATTTCTTTAGGCAAATAGTAGGATAATGTGGCCATTAAAAATCTCAGGTGGCAAGCTCTACGCAATGGATTGGGATCCTCTACTCATCAATAGTGATTCCTAACATTTGCTAATGCATCTCCACCTTTCATTTTATGGATAAGCACAAAATGAAAAATGGTCCCACAAAATGAAAGGTGAAGATGCATTAGCAAATTTTAGGAGCCAATATTGATGAGTAGAGGAACCCAATCCCTACGCAATCCCCTCCATGTTGAACTGTTTTGCATAGATATACATTGTAGTTTGTTAGGCTTATGTGGTTTGTTAGGCCTATGCGGACGGTTCGATTACCAGCTACAAAGCTTTTCAAGGGTTTTACACAAAACAACCAAACATGCCAAATACAGATCGAAGAGGTTGCTAGTGATATCTATATCAAATATAAAATGTTCATAAGGATGCTTATGTTGGAAGTTGGTGGACATTCTCACAAACTCACTCGAATAAGATAAAATTAATTAAAAGAGGAATTCACTAAGAGGATTTTACTTTGATTTGAATGACTTATACAAACTTGTAGAAAACATGGATATTTATACTACACAAAATAGTACTTTAGACTCAACGCATTTGATGCAAAGACTCTTCAAATCTAATATACGCATGCATCTACAATAACATAATTCATGAATCCTGATTTTCGGGTGAACTAAACAATCTTCACTTAAATGCAGATAACTCTCTCTAGAAAAATTCAAATCATGAATGGTTTGATTTCTAAAATCTAGATAGATAGGACTTTCCAATAAGTCCTTAGTCACTTAATTTGGAGAATAATAACCAAATCAAAAGCATCATCGAATTTGCTATTTAGACACAGATAGAACTGCAAGCTTAGCATACAGCTTGTACAATAGCTTAAAGCTAATCAAAAATTGATTTTGGTTCGGTGTAAAGATCTAACACATGCTTTTGCTTTCATCCGAACATTCTGTCTGCTATTCCCACTAAGGCTTGATTTGGCAGGAAGTATGAGAAGGGAAGGGGAGGTGCAAGGAGATGCAAGGAAGAACATATATATCTCTTGTGCTTCTTATTCTTTTGGAGGGAGGGTGAGATGAGGTGCAAGGAGATGCAAACATTTTATTATTTGGTTGAGGGGGTAGAAAGGAGATGATGTGTTTAGTTAGTTAAAATACAATAATACCCATATTTGAACAATGAAAAATAAGTGGAGAGAGATGACATTTGAACAATGAAAAATAAGTGGAGAGAGATGATATTTGAACAATGAAAAATAAGTGGGTAATTATGCAAAATATATGAAAATGTAAAGGTCCTACAATATAAATTTTTATTCCTCTTCACATTGTCCCTTCAAATAGGAGGAATTTTTTCACTTTTTACTTTCTAATTCATTTTCGCTTTTTTCTTTTCTTACTTGACTCTACCTCACATTCCTTTCCCTTCTAAAAATCTCCTACCAAAAATGTTTTTTTTTTTGTTTTTGTCCCTCATACTACTTTAGCTTCTCTCCTACTAAGCTAAGCTTTTTTTTTAATGTAAAATAGGGCAACGAGCCCTATCATTGATAATAATATAAGTGCAAAAGAGGATTACAAAAGTAGAAATGTAAAATAGGGCAACGAGCCCTATCATTGATAATAATATAAGTGCAAAAGAGGATTACAAAAGTAGATATCTACTGGTGATTGGAGCAACAACTCCTTGATAATAATATAAGTGCAAAAGAGGATTACAAAAGTAGATATCTACTGGTGATTGGAGCAACAACTCCAAGGTAGAGTAAAATACCAATCACTAGTAAATGTCTATATAATAAATACAACTACTGACATAACGAAAAAAAAAACAAAATTATCAAAGAGCTATAACCGCAACTCAAGGGATGTCGCTGTTGTCCTCACTAGATTCGATAATATCCGCCAGCCCAGAGGTACGAATGATGTTCTTCAACTTGATTGCCTTCTTAGAAGAAGAAGCACCTGCCCAGAAAAGAATAACTAAAGTAAACTGCCTTGGAGATGATTTGATGAGAAGAGGTGATTGAGTTAGAGAAGATGCGATCATTGCGAGCTGTCCATAGGATCCAACAGACTGTAGGAAAACAGATGCCCCAGAGAAGACGCACAGAAGCATGGACTGAACTGTCGGAACATAATGCAAAGCACTAAGGGATATCAGGAGGAATTGCACTGATGCCAATCCTCGACAAGAGCTGGGGCCAGACTTGGCTGGCAAGGATACAAGAAAGGAACAGATGGTTATGGGATTCTTCTGCATTGCAAAAACACATGAAGTGTCATATAACCAACCTTGGGAAGTCAATCTGTCCTTAGTCTTCAATCTGTTCAAACTCAGTAACCAGGAGAAGAACTGAACTTTGCTAGGCAATAATTTGTTCCAAACTATGGAAGTGAAAGGGTAACGAGTACCTCCATCAACTAAGAATGAGTATAAGGATTTAAGTGAGAAGCTCTTGGATGCGGAGAGAGACCAGGAAGGCTTGTCAACTGAAGAGGAGGAGGATAGGTTGCTGTCTATCAGGAGGTGGTTAAGGGCAAGGACTTACCTTCTGACATTCTCTTGAGAAGGCCTCCTAATGATGGGTCTCCTAGACCACCCCATCACTAAGCCAAGCTTAAATTAGTACAAATTTCATAAGGGAGGTAATTAATCAAAGAGGTGCATATATTGATGTGATTCCTTCAAATATCAATAGTGGATGTAGCAGAGAAATATACTCGAATAAACCTCGAATGCAAAATCTAAAACAAAATCATCAGCTGATTTATCTATATATGGATTTATGTCACTACTTCAGGATGCATATTGTAGTGCCTATAAATTATTCTTTGCTGTCACAAAAAAGTGTCATCCAGTTCAATCGCAGCATCAATTACAGCATCATTACTTACAAAAAAAGTGGAGGTCTATCTCATATTTCATCATCTTCATTCCAGTTACTAAACTGGAATTTGTTTCCGTGTAATCATAAATTGAAGGGTTAATTGCGGATACTATCACTCAGTTGCAAATAAGTTGGGATTATATTTTTGATTCTTTGTATAACTTCATGAGAATTAGATAGAGTTAGAAATCTATCATAATTAGAAGATTGTGTCTCATTATGATTAGGAGTTTGAATCCTATTCTAATTGAGAAGTTAGGCTAGAGATAGAATTTTGATTTCCCTATATATATTCTTCTATTGTTGGAGGAAAAACCAAGCAGAGAAGAGAGAGCCAATATTCTTGTAATATAGGGAGGGCGTAGCCTGATTCAAGAATATTATACGAGAGGCGAGGGTTTCGTAGTCTTTGTCCGTGCAAAAGATTACATCATTGGGAGAGGGTTTCGCGGTCTTTGTGCGTTCAAAAGATTGTAAAGAGATGGCTTTGGAGAGAATATGAGAGTTGATTATGTATGTGAGGTTGAGAGATTGAGAGACGAGAGTTGAGCGGTTCCTCTTGTAGTTCTCCCTAATATATAGTGGATTTCTCGTATTGTTGCCCTGTGGACGTAAGTCGAAATTGGTCGACCAAACCACATAAATCTCGGTGTTCTTCTTCTTGATTGTGGGTTGGCTTCTGAGTTGCGAAGATCGTACGCGGGGAGACTAAAATTCCCCAACCGAATAGACCCCCTATTGTTCTATTGTTTGAGAGTGGACCCCTGAGTGAAAACCTTTTGAACCTTTTACCCTCAGAAAATGAGAAAATCATTCCTTGACAAGTAGATCTCCATGAGTAAGAGTTAAAAAATAATTTCACTCGGTGGGTCTATCTGCGACAGTAGAACTACATTGAGTTCATCCGCAATTAATCCTATATTGAACGTACGTGATCCAATCTCTATAATCCTGGAGTCCTTCTGCTTCCGTTGATTCAACGGTAGACAGCTATTAATGCACCAACTATGCACTAGACAAAACTTATAGGATTGGTTCTCTAGTCTGAGTATTTGTCTCTGAGATTGTAATGAACACTGAGTAGGAAAAAATGCTGGGAACTTGAAGGCTTTATGCGATCCAACTTGAGATATGTTACATCATATAATTAAAGCAATGTTGCAATCATGGTAAAGCTAGAGGACATTATGATTATTATAGAGCTGTAACCAAATATAGGAACCCTACCCTTCTCAGTGTTATTGCCAGCATCCCGTAGGATAAATCAATTTGATCTTTCTCTATCAGAGAAGAGCCAATTATTGTGGCTTTGTTAACTTAAAATAACAATTCTTTATTGAACGAAATGATACAAGCTTACAAGAAACTCTGTTGGCTAGTACATCAAAAATGAATTAATATGATCATATCCTTCAAAATATCAAAACCTAGCAAGTAATCACAATATTGATCTACTATAACCGGTGTAGGACGTACGAATTATATCAAAAGAAGTCATCTCGATCCGCATTTTCATTAATTTACGAATATAGTGATAGTCAATGTGTATGTGATGGAAAAACAAAAATACGAACCAATTAATAATAATACCAAGTCTTCGTCAATTAATAATACTTTGATAAATAAAGACACATTTTGAGAATGACCCCAAATGTAGAAGAGAATTTGCATCTAAACTCCCTTTAGAACTAATTGATGCAGTCCCCACCTTCAGCTATCAGCTATGCATGCGAGCCATCATGCTCGTGATGATAATCCCAAACAAGTGGCAACTACTTTAAGAAAACCAACAATTAAACAAGTCTTAAAAAGAATTACTGCTAAACAAATAACTACATATAAAGAGTTGTTTGCCAAAAAGGGTTGCTTCAAACATGAGGCTCCCTAAAAGAAAACAACCCGGATTAGCCAAATTCCTCCTCCTATTTGTTTAGGTGAAGCAACGCTTGAGAGCTCCGAAGAAAAAGAAAAAAGAAATGCAACCTCTTGGATAAGGATGCAGAAAAGTGCAACCAAATTATAACAAAGCAGATATAAATCCTCTTCCCTAAAGCTAAAAGAAAAACATCATCTTTTTATAATAATAGATCGAACAAGTTTTTCTTACGTTTGTGCCATTGAAGTAGCTAAATTTTCTAAAATTTATCACTTGTTTAGTAAGTTAGTGGTGGGGTTAGCACTTGTGACGTCAGATTTCCATCTATTCAATTAATTAAGCGCCTGATGAATTCCAAGGAATAGGGTGGATTAGGGAGAATAGCTTTACGATTTTTTTTTTTTTAATTATTGGGGTCACCTCAGTGGCATAAGCCAAGCCCCTCTACATCACTATATGGAATCAAACGCAAAGCTTATGTAATTAGTTAATTTTTCGTGGTGGCTATCGCTCGGACTAATTAATGAGCTAGAAACTAAGCGGAATCTCGTGTTACACCAAATAAAGAAGCTATAGGTGTAGGGGTTAGCTGTCTTAATAGGGCGATCGATGACGTGTACTTGTGTGGATTAGTTAAAAATCATGATCGCAGCTTCGTATAATAAGGATCGTAATCATATTTTAGGTGAAAAATCATATTACTTACTTTTAAGGTAGAAATATTCTCTTTACGAACTACAGACTCCTCAATTTTTTTTTCTCAGAAACGATAGAGGCTTCCTAATTTCATGAAGCAATCAGTGAACTATCTTAACAAGATTAACAAAAAAAACTGAGGTATAAACGCCTTGCTAGCTAGAGGCAAACGCGCTCGACTTCGATTAACCCGTCAAATTTTGTAGCAAGTAGAAGCCACTAAAGAGGGGTGACCTGGCTTTGCTGTACACATCATGCTTCCAACATATAACAAAATTAAGGAATAAGATCACGAGGCACGAGCATGTGTCATTGGACATCACATATGGGAGTGGGTTAGGTAGAACAAATTGACAAGTTGGGGTGAATATAACCCGAACTTGAGCTCATAAAGTTTGTTATGTAACTTTGGGTTATTTGCATATGGGACCCCTCTAATCATGGGTGTTAACAAAGGAATATCTAGAGGGAATATCTAAGCCGATTACACATCTCTTACAAACACTCTCTTGAAGCAACACATCACCTAGAGGGGTGGAAATTAACAAAAGAATATCTAGAGGTTGTGCTACAAGCTGAAGTCAATGTATGAGAGCATAGGAGATGAAAGAATGCAAAGCCCCTGAATCGAAAATAATACGGGCTGGTAAGCTGCCGATCGCTTCAATTCATCAAGTTTGTAGAAAATTACCCCCAAATCAATCATCAGCTTTAATATTAATAAAATATATAGTCAAATTTTTACCTATCAAGTTGATGATTTGAGGGGGAGTTTTGTGAATACTAAGATTTGGGGGGTTCTTCTTGCAAATACTCATGATTTAAGGTGGTATATATGCCAGTAACCCAACAACTTTTTATATTGGGTTTTTTAAGGGCGACCTAGTGAAAATTCTGATTCTAGTACTTTAATTAGCTACTTGATCATTATATTATTGTACTGAGAGATTGATTATCTTAATGGTGTGACTATAGAACTATTAACTTCCTGTTCTTGAGTATTAATTAACACTCAATATTAGCTCCTTGAACATTAAGGGAGACAGGTAAAGTCGAGAATTTTAATCTGTCTTGATAGTGGAATCATATCAAATCAAGCTTAAAATTAGTTGAAGAGGTTATTGATGTACGTACTAGTCTTCTTATATTATTCTTTGTCGTCATAAATCACATTTTAGGTTGCTTGATTATTAAACCCCGGTTAATTAGTGTGCCCCACTATCATGATGATTAGCAAGGATCAAGCTCTCAATTTCAACAAGAAATTCAAGGTTCTTTAATATATTCATAGCCCTACAAATCTTAAGCACTAGCTCCTGATGATAGGCGCTATAAAGAATTGTGAGTTAATCATCACCAAAGTTACTTGAGCAGTTTTATACTCTAGGGAAATCTAATTATGATTTAAAAAAATGATGATAGTCGATAATTAAGTCAATTACAATATGCAAAAAAGTCGAGAAGTCAACCTAGCCATATTGTTAATGAGTAATGACGTAGGATGTTGTTTGTCATCGAGGCTAAGATCTTGAGCTTAATTATAACGGAGATAAATTCTCTCGTCACTGTTTAATTCAACCCTATACAAGTCCGCAGAATGAAGGGGATGAGAATACCCTAATTTTAGAAAAGAGTACAAAACGAACCGCTATATTAATCTTGAAACTTTAACTAAAACTAAATTTACAGAGAGAATAATAGGGAATAAACCTTAAACGGAAGAGCATAAAGCTTCTCTCACTCTTTTTAGTTGCAATTAATCTCTCTTAAGAATTTCGTAGTTATAAATTAAACTAGTTTGTTAGCTGGGCAATGCGCGGAACTAGAGAGAGAGAGAGGTAGATGGTTGTAGTTTAAAATAGAGTGAGAAGCTCGATCAGGAAAGAAGATGTGACGTATTAATAAGACAATATATAGTCAATTTATAAATAGGGTTGATGAAAATATGATGGTGTATTGCATAGGAAAGATGAAATATCTTTAAGTGCTAAAACAAATGTGTCATTTTCTCATATAACCTGTTCAATATCAATCTACCGATGAGGTCCTAAATTGTCATGATGGTAGAAACGAGCATTCACTTGAGAAAAAAATTCTAATAAAATTCCTAGCTAAAATATGTTAGAAAAAGTTCCTAAATATATTGTTGCGCGCAGCGTAAATTTCGGCAGCACTTCGGCAGCACAACAAGAGAGTCAGATCACAATAAGAATTCTCGTCTCACCAAGGAGACAAGAATCTAAAGCGGAT